CGCTCCTCCGCACTCCTCCGCCCAGGTGCCTCTGGGGGTGCCTCCTTGGTTTCTTTGCCCTTCTGCCCTTTCTAGAGCCTGACCAATTTTCATTTCTTATATGGTCTCTCGATTGTACTGGTGGACAACCTCAAATTTTCTGCAAAACTATTATGCTATTGACGTGGCTTCTTCGGGTACCTTCAGTTTTGGAAAAAACCTGTTTTTTTAACATGTTGTTGTGAGACATGGATCGCAGGGCTAACTATGTTTTCTAAAAAACCAGTTTTTTTTTGCCTTGTTGTGACATGTAAAACCTGAGGTCTAAATCTTGTGCTCAAAACTAGTTTACGGAAAAACGTATAGCATAATTTGGCAAAATGGACTTTCATTTCGGTCCAGTTTTCACGAAGTGTATGTTTCATCTGTCATTTATATTTATCGTTACATTATATGTATGCTACTGATGGAGTGTGGGCCACGAACACTACCATAGGGATGAAGACCCGCCTCTCACTGACAGGTTCAATGCACCCTTATATGTCTACTCCCGTCCAAGGGGGGATCGGCCAGGGATCTGCCAGGTTCAATGCACCTCTCACTGACAGGTTCAATGCACCCTTATTGAGGATGGGTCAAATGGGTGAGGGACAAAGCTGTATAGAGTAGGCCCTCAATCCGCAATACACCCAGGTGAGATTGGGGGATTGGAGCTGCAGGGGCAGAACCCAATCTCGTAGTGGCAAGCTGGTAGGTGTGGAAGGGATACGACTTGCGATAGGCCTTAGGGCTCTAAGCCCTTTTAGGGGTCTCCGTCTAGGAATGGTCCAGAGGAGGGCCCTACCGTCTTCAGCCGAATAGAATGCCGGGTCATTATAGCTGTATTTGGCACCGAATAGAATGCCGGGTCATTATAGCTGTATTTGGCATAAGATGCAGCGATAATGACTGGGCGTTCTATTCGGGTGAAGGCGGTCGTGTGGTCACTCCCAGCTTCGATTAGCTGAATTTCGGAGAGTTGTCCTGCGCCTGATACCCTGCCTCTACAACAACCTTGGGGTTAAAAAAAAAAAAAAAAAAAAAAGTTAAAAAAAACCTGATGTGAAATTATGGGAACTCTTGTGTGTGAAAACCAGGGGCTGCGAAGGTATGCCGAAGTGGTTTATAAAAGGAAAGCAGGCAATGATTCACGGAGCCGAGGTGTATCGGTTGATTACCACCCGCGCGCTTCCGCTGTCGATGATGGAGTTGCGGCTGGCGTCTTCTTGGGAGAGCGCAAGGGTGGGCGTAAATTCCATGGCGTCTGCAGGGGGTTGAAAGGGGATCATGAGCGACGAGGGCAAGATTTGTCAGCCAGGGAGGCCAACCACTCCCACTCCACGCTATGGGCTTTCTCAGAGGTATGCACACAATCCCAAAAAAAAACTGTAATTGAATCAGTAATGCCCCTAGAACCGGTCAGCATCATTGTCATTTACCTGCCCTTTCCTTTGTTTTGTGAACTTCAAGGTCTTAAAAAATGAAAAATATTTTTGAAAAGTTTGGAGGTTGTTACTTCTTTCGGTAGGAAAAAAACAAGATGAAAAATGAAAAAATATTTTTGAAAAATCACTGAAAAACTTTGTGAAAAGTAGATGTATATGGGTCGATATGACACACGGGGGTGGGGCCAGCCGCCACTCAACCTACATCCACGTGGGCGGCCTTGTACGCAAGAGGTTCTGAACAGGGGGAGTTGTAAGGAAGAAGATATCAAAAAAGTTTAAAAAACGAATTCATTTTTTTCTTTTTTTCTTTTTTTCGCTTTTGCGCTCTGATATTAATGTGACGATATATATCGTCAAATAGAACTGCCCGGTAAACCGTAGGCAGAGAGGGAGAAGAGGACAACAAACGAGGGGCTGTGACAAACTGTTTCGTCGGAGTTTCACCGACTCATCAGGAGGTATACGAACGTGGTGGGCCTATTCATTTTGGAGAAATTTGGACCTTTTGGTACAATTAACCTTTCTTGGAGTACGCACGCATTTTGGTACGCGACTGCTCTTTTTAGAGACTATGCTTCAATGCACATGTTTCCATGATTTCATTGACACTTTTTTCTGGATCGTGCAGCGGCTCCTTCACAATTTTATGTTTTTATTTTATTTTTTAATAATTAATTTGGACCATTTCTCTATTTATGTGTGTCATCCTTGCGCAGGGGCCATGCTAATGCTAATCTTCTCTTTCTCTGTCTCGTTCCAATCCTTTTAATGGATGTCCCTTTTTTTTTAATAATTAATTTGGACCATTTCTCGATTCACAACTTTTTTCTTTTTCTTCTTCGTCTTCGTCGTCTTCTTCTTGCTCTTCCCTCTTTTCCTTCTTCTTCTTCTTGTTTCTAATATCCAAAGCAAACTATTACCAAACTGTTTCTATTGGTAGGCCTCTTGCAAAGGATGCACACCATCATAATCATGATGATCATTAATATCATGATCTAGCAGCATGAGCTCCAATTAGCACCAGCTGAGGGATGAGAAAGTCATTTGAATGAAAGACTGGACACATGAGAACATGAGACGCTGCTTATTTTTTTGTGAAGGACTAGTCTAAGATCTATCTTCGCAACTGTTACAGGCTCAGATGGTCCACTTAACTCTTGCTCCAACTGTCTGCTACTCCCCTTTTTGTTCCTAGTACTAGGTGGAAGCATATGCTTCATCCCTGTGTACTAGTACCCCCCCCCTTTGAACCCCTTGATCATGTTCAGAAGCTGACTAGCCTAAGGGTGAGGGTGAAATCAGTGTGCTCTCCCCTTCTTTATCCCACTGGCAGGCCTGTGCAGTTGAATTATGCTCGCTCGTATAAAATGCCATGCACTTGGTCGGAAATGATTGATCTGTGGGGTAACAGTAATGCAGATGAGGAATGCGGTTGAGTGAGAAAAGAAGTATCTGTCAGGTTTTAACTTTTAATTAATTGCCCGCTTGATCATGAAATCCGGACTCGGAGGCGATTTTTGGACCTGAATGGGTCAGACAACAATGATCATGGTTACTAGGAGAGGAGGTGTTCGGGCTAGACGAAGTAGTCAGAACGGAAGTTGTTGCCGTCTTATTTTCTGGACTTGTACGACGCCGCATTCGCACGGTGAGAGAGGCAGAGGTCACGACTGTCGCTACTAATGACACTACCTTCCTCTCCCGAATACAACGTACGGTCATTATAGCTGTACTTAGACTGAAATAGACCCCCAATACACAACTATAATGACCATACGTTGTATTTGAGGGAAGAAGGTAGGCGGCAATTCTGTGCCTCTAATGCGAGCGGTGTGTGCAAGGAGAATGAATGGATGCTCCGTCTTCTGTTGTGTACTTGTACAGCCTCTCATTCGCACATTGATCATGAATGAGCAGTTTATTCTTTTTTTAATTATTATTCTCTCTCTCTGCCTACGGTTTACCGGGCAGTTCTGTTTGTGACGATATATGCTACGACTTCGCTAGCTTCCTGCTACGGTTTTTTCCGGTCAGGTCGAGCGGCAGTGGTTGGGGCCGTTACTAGGCGGCCATGCTGTGCCTCTAGTGCCAGCGGCGTGTCTGGAGTGTATTTTTTGGCTGTGACAGACC